GTGACAGAGTTCCTCCTGCTGGTTCTGCTAACTATCCCCAGTGTCTCTTGGAGTGGCAGTAGAATCTCATTATGGTGGGAAAGGAAAGAACTTGTCTAGTGGGAATTGTTGTTGTTGTTTGTTGGGTTTTTTTTGTTGGGGGGGGGTTATTGATTGAACTCCTTTCTGTGGTGCCAGGTTTGCTGATTGTTTCAGAGGGACTCCTGTTTCATCTCAGAAATGAACCCTTTTGGGGCTGCCTTCTGTAGTTACATTGAGGCAAGCAAATGCCCAGTCTAGCCCCACCTTCTTCTTTTGAGTAGGCAAAATTTAACACCCTTGCCTTTGTGTTTTTCCTCCAGTCATGGGGTCTAAAAGCAGTTTACCTTGTTTCTAGGGTTTAGAATGCGCTTAGTAAAAGGAGCAAGGGGAAGCAAGTCTATTCATTCTTGCCTGCACTATAAGTCCCATATTATTTAACTTTGATTGTGATTTGGTTTTAATAGTTATGCAAGGATGATACTTAACACCTATCTCTCAGATATTTGGATTTTTCATTTATTGTTTTCTCCAATACCAACTTTTAAAGCAGTGTTACAGTCCTATGATAACATAATAATATTCATGTAGCAGTAGTTCTCTAATATTTGTTTTCAAAATTTAAGAAACCTTGATGATGACCTGATCTTTGCTTTTGTCACTTAAGTGTGAAGTTTTCTGATAGCTCATCCAGCCTCGACTTTGTAGCACTTACTGTTCGCTGAGATCTCCTCTTGGAATGAAATTGAGAAGCTTTGCATAAAATAACGAGTTAGAAAGGATAAAATGGATATACATTGGATGAGTTCTTAACATATTTGGGAGGAAAGTATTATTTTTGTCATGAACAACTTTGGCAGTTGTAAAGTTATTGAAAATATTGTGAATTCCTCCTCAAATAATTCGATACAGATCAGAGCAAATAAAACATCAACTTTATTTGAAAGATATATTTCTAAGAAATAATTTTTCAAGAAAGCTTTTCTAAGTTTTATGATGACAAATAAATTGTTAAGTAAATATTTTATGTTATTTATAAGAAGCATAACAGTTTGCGGTTACCTTTCCAAAGTAGTCAAGTTGTGCATTTTTGGCCAGTTATCCAAACTTTAAATTAGGAATCATTAAACAGAATGTGAACAATGAACCTATGTCCATTTTAAAATATTTGCTGCATAATTTTACTGAGTAAATTATTTGAACTTTTATAATTCTAATAACATTGGTTTTATAACATTACTGGTTGTATGTATGATTTATTTTATGCTAAGACATTGGTTATGAAGGCAATAGGTAATTATAACTTTTTCAAAGGAAATCAGTTTCATTTCCACTAGCAAATTGTGGAGAAAAGTGGGAACTGTTACTAATAATGTTTCAGTGTATAAATATATTCACTAAATAACTGAAAAATAAATTGTTCAGTATCAAAACTGAACCAACTCATATGACTCTGGAACAATCACTGTCTACATTACTCACTAATTTTGAATCACTGCAGTTACTTCTGCTCTAGGTGATTTACCAGCATTGGTAGGTATTTAATCCAAAATCTCTTCATCATTGACTCTGCTATATTTAGTCTTCCAAGCAGATTTTGTATTTATTTTCCCTTTTGGTGTCGAGAGCTAAAAGGATTTTAATCTGTACATTTATTCTGAGAAAATCTAATTTACTTTTCCAATTGCTTAGGATTAGTCTATTGGCAACAGTGGAAGCCCTTAAGGAGTCATTTACTCTCTCAGTTTAGTGTGCAGAACAAATTAGTACTTCCCAAAATAATACCAATTAGGCCAATGTAAAAAAGTTAGTATCTATATTAATCTCAAGAGACAAGTTACAATATCTCTCCAAAAGGGCTGCCACTCAAGGACAATGCTTTTATAGTTTGCATAGCTATGCTACTTTTCTGTATACTCCTAAGGTCTCTTTTTGCAGGATGCCATCTACTATGACTACTTTTACTTCTGCTGTGCTGCTTTACACACACACACACACACACACACACACACACACACACA